ATTAAACGAATATTAAACTAACGAGTCCATTCTGGAGTCCAAGATGGCGGCCATTACAATATTGGTATTTTAACGGTGACGACGCGAAGGTGCCGAAAATCTGACGCAATTTTGGAAGCCAATATGGCGGCCATCGGGCTTGGAAAATCGATATTCGACACCATTTGTAGGATATTTGACACTTCTTCTAAAATCAGAAGCCACGATCTTGATGGCGTCGGACATTGATTTCCAGCCTCTAGATGTCACCCCTATTCCAAAAATACTCACATTGATCGGTATTTGACAGTATTCCACAATAGCTGCCATCATAGATTGGCGTCAAACTTCGCTTTCCGGATTCTAGACGTTACTGGGATTTCGAAAATACCCACATGCGATGGGTCTTCGACACTTTTTTCGATTAAATGGAAATTACTATTTTCAACTTTTTCTGAAGCCAGAAGTCGCCATCTTGGATTTAAATATGGCGTTTAACGTCAATTTTCAGCATCTACGTGACATCCCCGTTCTAGAAATTTACACCTTTCCTCAAATAGGAAACCGCTGTCTTGAATTTCACAATGGCATAGGATATTGATTTCCGGCTTCTAGACATTACCCTGATTCTAAAAAAAAGCATTTGTTTGGGTATTTGATGGAATTTCATACTCTTTCAAAATTTCAAGAATTTTAAAATGGCTTCGAATATTTTGTTCCATCCCGATTCCAAAAATACCCATATTGATGGATATTTGACAGTATTTACTATATTTTCTGGAACTGGAAGCCACCATCTTGGATTTCAAAATGGCGTCGCATATCTATTTCCAATCTCTAGACGTCATCCCGATTCCACAAATACCCATATCGATGGGTCGGCATCACTATTTCCCAATTTTCTGATACGGGAAACCACCATCTTGGATTTCAAAATATCGTCCGATATCTATTTTCGGCCTCTAAACATCACCCCGATTAAAAAATACCCATATTAATTGGATTTGACAGTATTTCCAATTTTTTTTCGGAAATCGAAAGCCGCCATCTTGGATTACAAAATAGCGTCGGATATCGATTTTCAGTCTAGGCGTCATCCAGTTTCGAAAAATACCTATATTAATGGCTATTTGACAGTATTTCCCTCTTCTTTTAAACTGCGAGCCACCATCTTGTATTTTATAATGGCGTCGCATATCGATTTTCAATCTTTAGACGTCATACCGATTCAAAAAATACCCAAATTGATGGGTCGCTGTCAGTATTTCCCACGTTTTCTGAAATCGAATGCCGCCATAATGGATTTCAAAATAGCGTCGGTCATCGATTTCCGGCCACTAGACGTAACTCCGATTCCAAAAATACCCACATTGATGGGTAAGCAAACCACCCTATAATGATAAATTTGACATCACAGTACACAGATCTATGCGCATGCGCTTAAATGAACCGAGTGAACAATCAACAAAAGTCAGAAAAACTGCGCGAATTTGGATCGAACAGCTTCGCTTCAATGTGAAAGTAAGTTCGTTTGACAATAAAAAACGAAATGAACGCGAGTCCAACCAAAACAAACAGCATGAAAACTGATCGAAAGTGGTTCTGTTGATGTTGAAGAGGATCTGCTCGAAGAGAAGACAGAATGACTTTCAATTGAAAGTGAGGGTTGACACCTTCGTAGTCGCTTGACGATTTTCGATTGAAAGTGACTTTGTTGGGCCCTGGTTCTAATATAAGTAAATTCACCGCACTTCAGGGTATTTTTTGGATTTTTTAATAAATCTGGGACATTTGTCCCCCTTGGAATAATCTGTATATTAAAAAAAAATGTAATCTATACATACAGATTTATGTATTGAAATATTGAGGAAAATCTGTATGATTACAGATAAATCTGTATATTTGACATCACTGGGCGTAGCAGCAGCAGTAGTAGTAGCCACCGCTGTTGATGGTATGTCTTCGAGCAGTTTGAGTCAGAGGTGAGGTCGGATGTTAAAGTTTTTGGTTGACTATTGACTTTCCGACTAAAACTTCACTGTAAGCTGTTCTTTGTCTTCTGGTCATCTAATGAACGTATCCCAAGTAACATTGCAAGGTTTATGGAGGTTTTAAAGCATGCTACAAGTCTAAATCATGGTCTACAGAACCCTTATAAAACCGAAATTGTTACTTGGGTATAGGCCCATATTGGAGGAAATGTGGACGGAACTCTGTGTGAAGATTTTAATAACGGAACTGGAGGATATCATGAACCCGGAAGGTATGAGAACTTTGTCAACCTAACCCTCGGTTGATAAACTATCTTGGATGAGCATTTTTCCCGAAATGTTGGGATTGAATGAGGGGCAAGCGATTTCCCTGATTTTTCATGTACCTACTTCTTTGGACAGGCATTGCGCTGACTGTGTTTTGAAGAATCTGATTAGATTTAGGAGAATCTAAGGCGGGAGATTATATTGTGGCAATATCTTAACAAATTTTGACACAAGCACACTGCGCAGGCGCAGAAAAAGTTCAGTGTTGGAGTAACTTTAAATATCAGGAATAATGTAACCATGGCTGCCAAACAGTGCCAATGACTGTGCCCAGGTGTGCCCAAGCTTGTTTTTGACACACTGTGTGGAGGGCAAGGCTAAAAAAAATCACTAAAAATCATCAAAGTTCACTATGGATGCAACACTCATTTCATAGTGAATGCTGGAAATTTTTTTAACCCTGGTGGAGGGATCAACCCCTTGTTCTGAGGTTAAGTTGATCATCCAGGTTTTTAATGCAATATTCAGAAGTTAGCATTTATACTTTGATTTATGTTCGCTGAAGGTGAATTTTGTATTGAAATTTATTCAAAAGTTGAAGCAATTAATTTCAGTTTTGCACTGAAAATCAATTTTATGAAACGAAATTGTTCATTTGAACAAACTCTGATTTCAGATTCAGATTCAGCAACCCATAATTGAGTAAAATTAATTATTTCATAGAATACAGCACCAGAATTAATGCTGATTCTGATAGGATGCTTAGGAACAGTTAAAAGTTGCATATTTTATCACGTCCACAAAATTGGTAGAATGCATCGTGTGTTAGGGGAAATGTTTGAAAGGAACTATTTTATACTAAACATTCATATTCCGGGGTTCAGCCCAATAACCCAAATTTGAGTAAATCGCGTATAGTAGTTTCCATTTAACACCAGCAAAAAAATTACCTACTTTTACGTATATTCTACTCAAAATTAAGTTTAATTCACGTAAATTTGAGAACATGCAATTTACTCAAAAGTAACTTATTAGGCTGAACTATACCGTGGGGTCGAATCTCTCGTTCCTTTTTTGACAACAATAAAGAGTGCAAGTGAGAGACTAAACTCAATATTAAGTAAATTTTGGGTACTATTTTTTCTCCCTGTAAGGCAAGGCGTCAACTGGTGTGGTGGCGATGCCATAAACCAGCAAGTTAAACAATGCGTCCATGGCGAGTGACGTGAAGCTCGCATCGACATATTTTTGTCATGGGTACGAATGAACACTACACAAGTGGGCACCTGGCCTTGCCTAACATTTGATCTAGGAAGTGAATTAGTAAAGGTTAGCTGAAGAGTATTGTTTTCAACGCAAATGGACAACTTTTAATACTAACCCTCATTGGAGGATCTGCCAAATATTGTTTGTTTAGGATCGTATTGATTAACACCGACATCGACATCCATGCAGTTCTGCATTCCTCATAGGGATTTAATCCGAGGATAAACCCGGTTGGAACTTACCACCATAAATGACGAAGAACCGTGCAATCCTTATATAACCTGTATTCAAATTTAGCATGTTTGGAAAAAATATTTCCATGAATGCTTAGTTAAAAATACTTAGCTTGCACAAAGGAAGTGAACACTTTTCTCAGCTCCTGGCTTAGCTACAAACCACGAGCATCTAAAAGAACGACAGCTTTTAATTTTTACGAAATAGGGGAAATGGATGTAATGTCGGCCTAAATGTCCCTAATTTGGGCCCATACATAAATTCAGCAATCGACTAAATTTTCAATAGCGTCCAAAATATCCGTTAGTACCGTCCCAATGACGCATTCATCTAGATAAAATTGATAAATAGCAGATTTTTAGCGATGATCCCAATCTTAGATCCATTAGAGCCATTTCACCTATGCCTTTACTATTTTTGTGTGTAAAAAGTAGCTGCATTGATTTTGTAAACAAAACATCCAATCCACAATCGGAGCTCGCAGGTGGGTAGGGAAGTATTTTCTTTTACCCTGAACTATTAGATGAACTGTGTAAACATTACAGTTTTACAATTACACCTTGAGAGCAACCTTGATGCAACATACGGCAGACGTTGTTCCTCATTGCCACTTACTTTTTCTTCGGAATCACCGAACAAGATCAATTTCGGACCATAGCTAAGAGGTTAACGGTGAACTTTTCGTACACCCATTCGGAACATTTCCGAATCGCTTTCATACATTCATACTAATCAAATTATCTTCTATCAATATCATGAAGAAGGATTATTGAGAAACGAAAATCGAACGGTGTAATGCTATCGACTTGTGGACTGTTTTGTAAATAAATTTTATCGGCTTTCAGTCTTTTAGCGAGTAAAACGATGTTTTTCCTCTACTCCCAACGTTTCAATGGTATATTCCATCAACTTCACTCCGTTTTACGGTACCTTCAGGCAGGGATGGTAACGCTCATTGGAGCATCGTTCATTGTTTTAGAAAACTGTTAGAAAACTAACGCTGAGTCCAATAGACTTTTTAGTTAATCCATCTTAAAATAGATAGGTTGAAGCTAGTATTCTCCCGATCAAACTTTACAATTTTCGCACCGTAGATCGAATAATATTTGATCAAAAAAGTGGCTGACATTTTGACCAAAGATCCATGCCAAAAATCTTTTCTACTAAATATGCACATAAGTTTCAGAGTACATAGACTCAATAAGTCAGACATAAGCCTTCTTGTCTTTTTACTTCTTGTCTGTTCCAAGCGGCGACACTTACTTCCACTGCAGGGGGATGCAGCTGGCATCTGCACACTGGAACTCGTTGGCAAAGCATTCGCTCTGTCTTGTTGGATCTTCGCAAACGTTTCGATCGTTGGAATCCGGATAGCTATCGCAATCGAACGTCGCCGTCAGCACCTCCGAACTGGCAATGATGTGAGCGCATGGTTCCAGAATTGCTGTTCAGAATACGGATTTATTACTATGGGAAGGTACACGGTTATTGATCGATGAGCTTACACTTGCAGATTCTCTTGCACGGGCTCAGGGTTCCCATCCTTGTTGGTCGACATTCCGGTTCCAGTACCAGGCAGACGAATTCCGCAACGCGTACCGAGCACTTGGAATTAATGAGATACTGGAAGTGTTCGTACTCGATGTTGCTAAGGTGGCGATTTTTGAACGTTGTCAGATCATAGGGAAGGATTCCTCGGCAAAGTGGCAGGGACGTGGATTTGCAGATGCCTGGATTGGTGTTGGAAAAAAAAGCAAAACAAATCGTTAAAAGGGTTGTTCTTCTCGTGGAAGCTCACCTGCGGGGCTGTCTGTTGGCTTATGTGCAGTACCTTCTTCGGAAATATTGAATCGTTTCAAACCTTCGGTGGTAATTTCGAATCGGGACAGTATGGGCAGCGTTGGGGAAACCTTTGTCCGATAGAGACTGGAATCCGTGGTCGACGATGTGGTGGTTAGGTTTTTCTAGAAAACAGTTTTCGAAGGGGGGATTTAACGGTTAGACAGTTTGGTTAGATTTATTGCGGGAGCAGGTATTAATGGAGTTATGATGATGGTTGGCGTGAGGGTTCAACACGTGGAGTAGAATGCATTATCTGAGAGTGGTTGGAACAATGCAATGTTCGCTTTTTGAAATATTTACAGTTTGGAATTTTCTGCATTCTACTTGTGAGGTGTACTGAGGGTACCATCTGTTTGCGTGACCGTGGGATGGGGAGTGTCTGTGTATAATTCATCATAAATTCTTGCTGCACACCAGATTTTCAAGCCACCGCTCAGAAGCAAGAGAAAACTTTCGTCCACCAGCCAAGGGAGAGTAAAGCTTTTGTGGTGCACAGTGGTCCATGGTATGTGGAATGATATCGAGATTGGCTCGAATTGAGAATATTTTTGGTTTATTTATTATATTTTATGAACCACTGTGCAGTGCAAAGTTCGTGTGTGGAAAATGTGGAGGGGCTCATGCTTCCCAATCCCAAAACACAGAAGGAGAAGGATGAAATAAGTATAATTGAAACAATAAATCACTTCTCTCTGCTTCTCAAGTTTCATCAATTGTTCATTCAACATCCTCAACAGACGCTCATCTTCCTCGATGGGAACGCCAAAACTATTTTGATGACCTGAAGTGAATCCGAACGAACGGAGAGAACCATCGTCTCCTTTTGATCCCACCTGTCTGCCATTATTGGTTTCGATTCCGGCATCGATGGCTCTGGTCGTATGCTCGTTGATGGCATCTTCAAACTCATCATCGTCGAAGTTGACGCGTGCCTTGGTGTAGTCTTTAAGCGAAATAGTGCTGGTCTTCCGAATCGGAGCGTGAGTTGTACTGCTGCTGACCTTCTCCACCGTAGCAGGGGTTTCTTCGCTTAGATTCTCGTGTTCCGTGGAGGTCCACAAGTTCTCGTTACGATTCTGTTCGGTCTTCTTGACAAAAATCGCCAGCAGATCATTATTAAGACCAAACGAGAACTTGGAATTCGGAGTTGAGCCATCTTTGGAGAACCCAACTCCTTTGTCTTTATGATCCCTACCAAAGGTAGTCACCGGGCCGCTGTCCAGATCATTAGCGTTAGTAAAATCGTTGAAGTCGATGGAAAGATTCTCTTCCACATCGTAGATGCTGTGCTCTCCCAGCAGTGAACTGCTCATGATGTCCCTATCTATAAGATCGATCAGAACGACAACGAATTTGATTATTGATTTTATTGAGCTTAGTTAAGATGATTCAGTCCGACTTACCTACAACCAAGAAGTATACAACAAAACCTAGCACGCTGCATATCAGTAGCAGGGCGAGGGGCCATTTGATGAAGCGCCATATTAGGTTGAGGGCACTCCACAGGCAGCAGCGTGAGTGCGACGAAGGCCGGAAGAAGGAATTGACGGAGGATGCACTGGTCAGTGGGGACTGGGAACCAGCCTTCCAGAAGTTGTAACTCTGGCGGCTTGCGTGCAAGTGGCTGGGCAGGGAGTTTGGTGCGGAGGGAGAGTGCTGGGAGGAGGACGATGTGTAGCCGCTGTACGGTGTTCCCTGGAAAGTGAAGAAGAAAATAGGAAGATATTAGTTTCGAAATTTATTATTCAATTTAGATAATGTGCGCTGTGCAGCTAATTTGGATTTGGATTATATGATTTCGTAAGAGCCTAACCAAAATGCTGATTTCTATGTCAAAAGTGGGACCTTTGTTGCCCATATAATTCAATTAACTTTATATTCAAATGTACATTGAGAGCGCATACTTTTGGCCAATGTTTGGAATTATTTGGCACCGTAGGCGATCCATTTCATTACTTCACATATGTACCTACCTATAGAAATTCTCATTTAAATAAAACCCAAAAATCACCACTGCTGCAGACAAAACCGAACGAGGGTATTATTTGAATTTGCATATGAATAAAAGTCCATATGTAGTTTAATCCTCGTACCTCGTGCTGCATGCCATCGAGTACACGACTGAATGGACAAAAAAGGTGAAAACTGCTCAGTGCAATAACTGGATTGTTTTGAGCCCGGCAGGAGGTCATTTTGGCTGGCTTGATAATCAAACTAGAGTAAGTAGAATGTTGGGGACTTTCAATGAGATAGGATTTGAGATAAAAACCATTGGAAAATCAGTGCTATCATGTGAAAGAGAACTCGTAAATAGTTCTTTTTTTGCAATACACAATGAATATGTGTAGCGAAGCATGTTTAGCGCATTGTACAGCGTTGTACAATGTTTGGATGTATTAATTGAATGCGTATGTATTAATTGCAATAACGCAGAATTGTTGAATTAATATATTGTAACAGTTCGAAGAAACCTCTCAGCTATCTGCGTGTCGTGGCTAGTGTAGTTTTTTTTATAGCGATATTTGTTTATTATCCAGGTTTTAACCAGCTCCAACCCGTGCAAAGCCGAGCTTATTGTCAGTGCGAACCCGAGCCAGGTTACAAAAACAAACATTAACACTGACGTTTGAAAGGCAACAAGCAGACCCACTCTTGATACCCGATCCCGGTTGGAACTGAATCAAAAACAAATTCGATATGAGTAAAGATTGATAAATTAAATCAGAAAGTGGCAAAGGGCTAGTCACTCAAACAAGCTTTGTTAGGCTAGTCACTCAAAGGAGCTTCCCCGAACTTCTTCCCAATCCATTGAACTTATCCGCAGCTCTGTGAGTCTGAAGTTTCCAGAATTTTTAGGAAGTTCTGCGAAATCCTGAAAAGTTGCTTCCACTTCTAAGAAGTTTCCTGAACTTATAAGATTTTTCCATAGCTTACACAAACTGAATTTCTACCTTAAACTTGTCCATATTCCATATAACTCATTCACTATTCCCTGAATTTCTTCGAAGCTTCACTGTTATATTTTTAACCTAGCTAGATCTCAGAATATCCATGACAATTTACAATCTTCTTCGAAGACCCTTAACCTATTTACAAATTTTCCTGAACATATGTGCCACACAAAGTTTCCATAACTTCCGGGATGTTCCGAAAATAGTTTTTAGAAGTTTGCTGAATTTCTAAAATATTCCCTGAGCGCTAAACATCAGAACTCTTAACACTAAGGTAAAACAACGTTAACCAAGGATATGTGAAATTCTCTGAACTCAAATTCAAATTTATTCGCTTAACTTCTACAAAGATCGCTGAAGTGATATATATTCGCTTCACTTCTATGAAGCTTCCCGAACGCTCCACAATGTTCCCTGAAGTTCAATAAAAATGTTGAACTGCTACGGCATCCCCTAAATCAGCGCTGCCCAACGTGCGGCCCTAAAGTTCAAAGAAGGTTCCGGAATATTAATAAAATTTCAATCACTTCATCAAAGCTCCTCAACCTTGTACAAGTTTTCCGAAGTTTTCCAGAATTATCTCGGAGCTGTCTGAATTTATATTGGATTCACAGCATTTCTTCGATTTCTCTTGAACATCTCCAAAGTCACTGAAGTTTTAAGAATATCAACAAATGTCAAGAAAATTGCCTGAACTTCAATGGACGTCCCCGAATTTCAATAAAATTCTACAAAGTTTGATGCAGTTCTGCAAAATTACCTGCATTTCTACGACGTTCATCGAAGTTTTACGAAGTTCACCGGATTTCTATGAAGTTTGCTGATCTTTTACAAAGCTCGCAGATCTCCTCAACTTATTCTATAATGTTTCTGAAGATGTATGAAGATGCTTGATATTCAATAACATTTCCTAAGCTTTTACGAAGTTCCTCAACCTTCTAGGGAGTTTCATGAAATCGAATGACGTTTTCTTACAGCCATTTTATAGTAAAATGATATAGTGGTTTTCAGAATTTCGTAAAAAGTGGTAGTTTTGTTCCTTATCGCAAAATATCAGACCCGTATTTTTTTAATTTGCACTTAGGGTGACCATTTCCAGTAGAGTGGTCAAAAATATTTTTTTTTAAATTTATATCTTTTGAACCACTGGGCCGATTTCAAAGATCAAAATATTAAATGAAGGTAAATACTTTTTAGGAAAAATACAATGATACAAAAATTGGGATTTGCATAGAAAAAAAATATTGTATTTGTTTTTTTTAAGGTTTTTATGGTTTGTAGACAGAGGGCGTAATATATATTTTTTTAATTTTTAATAATGAACACAACATATAAAAAATCGGTGTTGTTTTTTTCGTTTTTGAGTTATATTTTTTGAAGTTATCAAGTTTTTGGGTATTTGCTCAATACTCATATGCGACTAGACTACCATGCATCGTGACCATGTTACAGTTGCTATTAGTCAATGGAGACGCGATGAGACGTCTAATATTTTACGATAAGGAACAAAACTATAAATTTTTACGAAATTCTGAGAACAACTATATCGTTTTGCTATGGAATGGCTGCTTAAGTCTTACGTTCTACGAATTGTCATAGACTCAATTTTATAAATATTAATGAAAGTACTCTAATTCCCTTTCGTATTACCTTTTCCACCAGTAAATTTTAAAAGTAGAGGTGTGACATGTGAAGACATTTACTATAGATATTGTATGTCTTGTCAGCTAGGGCCATCAATCCTATTTACAGCTATGGGCACATGGCCTCTTTACATTACACTATGGGTATTGCCAATAAGAAGAAGATTGACACAAAGTTTAACGCTCTTAAAGGAGAGTTAAGGGTTTAAATATGCCATAAACATAATTTTCAACCTGTTTGTATGGGACCTCCCCATAGCACTTCACTGATTATTTGATAGACTCATTTTCTTGCCATGCTTTGAAAAATTGCATTAATTTTCAATGAGAATTCGCCCATTCCACCAACAAAAAAGTCTTTCCGTAGAGAAGCAGAGATGTACTTGGATTGTAGAAACGATAGATTAGATGTTAGCGGCGCCGGTTTGGCAGTGGTAAGCGTGATTGCCTTTCACTCCAAAAGGACTGGGTTCAATCCCAATCAGCACCATCGGGATTTTTGAGGCATAAAATCTCTGATCACGCCTTCCTTCGGGAAGGAAGCTAAGCCATTGGTCCCCGGTCCATGAATTGATGGGTCGATAGGTAGGGTCCAGGTGTGGGAGCATGGATTTGGCAGGATCTGGTCAGTCGCAAAGTAGCGGCTGCAAAATGTCATCAATGCTTATAAGTGCTGTGTTGTGATACGAGGGGCTGGGTAGCCTTAGAACGAACGGTTTTGCTTACTAAGCCGAAAATCGTGGGTTCAATCCGTCGTGTGTTGTGCGCAGAATTGCTAATTTTCATATAATTATATTGAAGCTACGTCCTTTTTTAGAGGTTTTAACCGAATTAAGGTCATTAACCTTTAAAAGTTATGCTTGATTTGTTGACTGTTGGTTGGTAATGTACGGGTATTTTGGCTATGCACGCTGGTGAACGTTTAAACTCGCCAGACAGCATACCCGAAACACCCGTAAATTTAATTGAAGATTCTCCAACAGAACCTGCTAATCGATTCTGTTCAATGTATATTTTCAACTCCATTATTTACACCACAATAGATCAAAACACTGATCACAGTGGTAAGTGGTAATGTCCACGACACGGAGAAAAAAAAACTCCATTATTTGAAGACCCGAGTACAGGGTGTATTCGATAAAAATGGCACACACATATTTGCTCACCAAAATGAAACCTATTATTGGATTTTCTTGAAATTTTTAGGAAATGAAAAACTATTAATGAGTTATGATTTATAAAATTTGTTTTATTCAATTTCGTCTCCCATCCAGAATGCCCGCACCTTTCTTTTCACTCTACCATCAGATTTTGTACAACCGATTTTTGCAGTGTTTTTGTTGTTTTTACCCACATTTTCTTCAACTCCAGCTCTGCTTTAATAGTTTTGGAATGTTTGCGAAGTTCCGTCTATATAATTGCCCATAATTTTGCGATTGGGTGAATTTCCAGTGAATTTGGTGAGTTCATATCTTTTGGCAAAAAATTGACTCCGTTGGCTTGGTACCACTTTAACACGTTTCGAGCGTAGTGGCAGAGTTGATCCTTTGTGCTTCCTTATGAATGGCAAGAGACGCTTCTTAAGGCACTCTTCCGTAAAAATCACACCGTTGATTGTTCCGGAAGTGATTAAGGGAGCGCTTATTTCACCACATCCGCAAATTGCCTGAAAAATCAGGAACTTCTTTGCAAATTTCGATAATTTCTTCTTTCGAACATCCTCCGGAACATCGAACTTAGACTTGGCAACGAAATATTCTTGCCCAGAAAGTTGACGGAAGAAGACGGCATTGAAGTATGTTTCGTCATCCATCACGATGCAACACGATTTAGTGAGCAACTTCGTGAAAAGTTTCCGGGTGCGGGTTTTCCCGGTGATGTTTTGCTTTTCATTACGGTTTGGAGCTTTTTACACCTTGTAAACTTGTAACCCAGCATGCTTCATGGTTTTCTGGGCAAAACCGACTGACACCTTGGACTTTTTAGCGACATCTCGAATTGACATGTTTGGACGGTTCTTGAACTGTTGCATTACTTTCCTGGCCATTTTACTGTCCATTGGACCACTTTTACGACCACTCCCTTTCTTAATTGGGGCACT